TCGTGTATTTTTGGCTGCTTTTGTTCCATGATCAATTTAATTCTTTGATGTAAACACGCGGCTGCATAACTATGCGAGAACTGCTGCTGGAACAGCAAAGAATTCCAAGTGAAGCCTGGATGACTCCACTATTTCTTTTGCTGATTTAAATGTTTGAAACGCACCTGTTATTCGGTGATTTCAATTTCTGCTCGGATCCTTTCCTTTCACAAGTGTTTCTCAGAGATTCAAGGCATCTTTTATGAGAGTAATTCCTAAATCATTTTTTATTGGGGCTATTGGTACAGCGGCAAAGAGATCGGCTTTCAACTGTACAGGTGCCGGATTCGAATTCGCTCAAGGGAAATCATCGTTTTAAGCCGCGAATTCACTTCATCAAGAATTACCGTTACCAAATTACGCTTCTGCGCCGCTAACCGAGAAACGGGTAGTAAGTTGCCAACTTGCGAATAATAGAGATGGAATGGTGTTCTGGTCTGACCATGCCAGAATGGACGAGGTATAGGACCATGCTGTCCAATACGAGCCCCTTGCAGTTGCACTTCGTCCTGACCCACGAGAAAGCTGACTTTCCAGTGTAATAATCAGCACAACGTATAACCCCAATTTTTTCTTCATTCCATTTGCCACTTGGAATAGTACAAAATGACAAGTACACCAGTGTTCTTTGCTTTACTTTGATCGCCATAAAACTGTATAAAAACTATTTCGAGGATTGCATCGCGTCGTCTTTCTGTTGTTCGAGCACGTCAAAAGGAAACTGAATCAGCCGGCCATAAAAGCCAGGAGCAAGTTCAGCGTCAAGGCTTTTATGGAAAAGCACGAACTCGGTAGCAAACCCGTTGCGTCTCTCTAAACAAGTGTATGCGTTTATTTGCAGATAGCCCGGTGGCAGGAAATTTTTACTATTCGCAGAATCAACAGCAGTAAAAAGAGACAAGGTCTGAGGGAAAAACTCGTCGCCGTAGTTGTCTAAAATTCTGCTTCACAAAATCGCTTAGATAGTAACAGACTTTAAAAGCTCATTGGACAATATTTGTAAAATCACACGGTTACCGATAGATTGACTAGAACTTGATGTTTGGAGTGTGCATTTGAATCTGTTATTTATTTGATTGTCATTAGTCCGCTATTGGTCACTGGCTATTGTCATAGCCGGCTACAGGTCCTTAAAGTATTAATATGATTTAAACAGTAATAAAATCGCTGCGCCATATATGCTTACAAACTAATTCTTGGCGCAGCATGGGGAAGAATCAGATAGAGATCGCCAAGTTCACTCAGGTCAATGTTCCACTCCACGATTAATGCGTGGGACAATAAGTGTAGCACTCATCGCTTATATCTTCAAAATATAACGTATGAAGGAAACATATTACTACTCAGTCGTAAGAACGAAAACAGTTCAGTTCAAGTTGCATATTTGACTACAGTAAAAACTAAGCCTTAACTTTTCGCTCATAAAAACAAATAAAACAGATATATGAAGATATATGCATGCACAACTAATCTGTGCATGAGTTTCAAATCTAAGCTACTCTGCTACGGCAAAAGGTGCAAATGGAGCTAACTCAATGGTATAAAGAGGTGAGGCTATCGGTGAAAGAAATTGAGCTTGACAAAACCACATGCTGCGAGCTGACCGGAATCCTTGGCCTGCTTACGCAATACCTTTGAACGACAGTCAATCTGCTGAGTGAATTTTGGAGGTATATGTTGGGAGAAACCATTGTGGAACACCTAACCAACAACGTGCAGATAATGTTGAGGATTGCAATTTTTGTGAATTAACTGCAGTGTCAAAGGTACGACCTCTTCCTATAGTAGTTCATTTCACATGAATATGAGTCAATTTTCCCTATATGGTCAAGTCTTCTATCAGTCTTTGCTGTCATTTCATTCCGTAAAATATCGTGTCGCATTGTTTTTGCTCTTTCTCATTTCCCCTTTCTTGAGTAGCATTGTGAACGCCAGGACCAAATTATCTATGCAGTCATCAGGTCCTTACTTGTGGTTAACGAACGAAACTGGAGTGAGCATCTGGCCAGCTTCGCTTTTCTGTTTCGGAGTTACACCTAAGGTGCTCATAAAATCCCGGAGGATAACATCACACGTGAACCTGAGCACCTGCGTTGCTATGAGCTCAGCTATTTTCAATGTTTCTTCAGAGCTGCGCATTGTTTAGCTCCATACATCAGTAGCGGTTTAATTACTGTTCTAAATCTCTCCATTAGTTAGATGTGAACGTTTCCTTCACCCCCCCCACAGGTCGTTTACCTTTTTCCGTTTGATTAAGCCAGTACGATTGACTGGTTAATTTTTCGCTGATTTTCTCGCTAACTTTTGTGTTGTCAACTAGCACCGTCAACCGTCGGAAGTCTATCGCATAACCCATATCACATCTTGTTCCTACTGACGTAAAGTTCATTTTCCGGATCTCCATTAAGATCTCTATATTTCAGATCTTGTTTCTACTCTTGATCTACTTTCGTTCACAGTGCAACATCGTCTAGGCATTCAGGCTACATGAAATTGCTTCTTGCAGGTCCTCATTTACCTAAAAAAATATGCTTAATGCTGACTTTAAACCTGTAAGTAATTAAGGAATTAGAACTATCCCTTTGAACCCATCAGACGTTGGTTCTGGGTAGGCCTAAAATATATGCTGAAATTATCTTCTGCCCGATGTTTCCCGACATTGCCGTAATTGATATTCTATCATAAGCATTTTTTGAAGTCTAAGAAGAAAGTTAATTAGTCAATTCTTTAACAGTTAACATACAAGAAGATGGATTATTAGGGAAAAACAGAAAAATTATCACACTACAGTCAAAAGAATAGAGTACAACTTAAAACATGCGACCATCTCAATGAGCAAATAAATGGTTAAGGATGCAGTTACAGTAGAAGCGTGCAATTTTTTGAAGTACTGATGCATGAATAAAACGGTTGCATGAAAAACGCCTCTGTGAGCATAAATATGCTAGGGGATAGCATGTAAATCAGTGTGAGGTAAAGAGGTTATTCAGTGAGGCTATATCGAGTGTGCAATCAGGAGTGAAGGCTCGATCCGAACCTTAAGAGTTAAATGTATGATTTTGACTGCTAATTCAGCGACCTATCCTCAATTGCATAATGCTGAACCAGCGTAAAGATGTTGATGCTCAGTAATTTGAGACACTGCCAGAAAATCTCATAGACTGAAAAGGTGCTATAAATTTTCTTTCCAGAACTATGCACTGGTCATTGACTTGCTGTAGGACAATGCAAAATGTGAAATCATCTTGCAGAGAAGGATCTGCCCTACACGATGAACTAATTGTCCTTTACGAGAAACGTGATCCTACACTAGCAAGAAACAGCGCCTAATATATATCTGAGTGTTAGGACTAATCCTCACGGGGTCAGTTGGCGCATACGGGTCACCCAACTGCCGTTTGGTATATTGTTTAAACTGTCTATTCTAACCTTGGATCTTCCCAGGGATAACCCTAAGACAGCAGCAGCATTGGTGGCCCTAT